AATTGTGTTGTAGTTTGAACATTCTTTGGCATTGCCTTTCTTTGGGATTGGACTGAAAACTGACCTTTTCCAGTCCTGTGGTCACTGCTGAGTTTTACAAATTTGCTGGCATATTGAGTGAAGCACTTTAACAGCATCATCTTTTAGGATTTGAAATAGCTCAGCTGGAATTCCATCACCTCCACTAGCTTTGTTCCTAGTGATGCTTCCATAGGCTGAAGGAAACTGTGAGGAAGGCATGGCTGGGCTAGAAGTATGGAGCTCAGCTAAGGCCTCAGAAAGGAAGCAGCACTTGAACTAAGCTTAAGGAATCATGGTACTCAAGGGTGAGCATAGCTCCTTGATCAAGGGTGGAATTCTTCCAGGCTGGACTGAAGGTTCTGGGCCAACTTGGGACAGGAAGACCCATCTGGTGTCAGCACTCCCTTGGCATGCTTCCAGTCAACTTGCACATTCCTCCAAATGGAACCAGAAGAGCTGCATGGGAAGAAGGAGCACCAGGTTATAGGGTGGACTCTGTGGTGGGCACCTAGGACACTGCATGTCCCCCAGTGTGGAGTGCCCACTCTCACAGCACAGCAAGATCTCTCCTACTCCTCATCACCACAGCTATTATCACAGGACTTCTCAGTTCAACCTTTAGCACAAAAACCTCACCACATGGTTCAGAATCAGTGACGCAACCAGTACTTCTGGATTCCAGTTTGAATCAGGACCTGCATCCCTCACTGGGCCAAGCATCGTTTTCTCTTTAAACAGCTATGCAGCGGACCTGAGTCAGTTTCAGACTTTCTGCCTCCTGGGACTGCATGCCAGTATTATAAAAATAGAGATGGGTTGCACTACTTGGAGGGGATTCTTTTAAAAATATATATATTTCTCTATAAGAGTGCTAACTAGTTTTGGTGAGGATGCAAAAAGATGAAGGCACCAACTTACTTCAGTGACATTGAAAGAGTGAGTGAGTGTTAGTTGCTCAGTTGTGTCTGACTCTTTTCAACCCCATGAACTATAGACCGCTGGGTTTCTCTGCCCAGGGAATTCTCTAGGCAAGAATACTAGAGTGGGTTGCCATTCCCTTCTCCAGGGGATCTTCCTGATCCAGAGAGTGAACTCAGGTCTCCTGCATTGCAGGCAGATTCTTTACCATCTGAGGCACCAGGGAAGCCCTCAGTGAGATTAAGTATCTTGAATAACACCATAGTGAGGTATTTACATGATTATCTCATTTAACACAAAACCCTGGAAGATGGCAACCCTGTTTCACAGTTTAGAAAACTTGGACTCAGAGAGGTTAAGTAACTTGCCTAAGATCGCAAAGCTAGCACTTGGTAGAGCAAGGGCTTGAACTCAGGTAGTCTGACTAGTGCCCTGGAGTTACACTCTTCTCTCAAGTGCATTATAGGCTGGTATCCAAATGTTTGTCCCTCTCACCATGCTTAATGTGGGCTGGCCTGCACAATACTAGCCCTCCTGCTCTAGAAAGATATGTTCCCAGATTCTCACTGTGCCTGAGAGGAGCTGGCTTTTGTCTCAGAAGTGGCCAAATAAGCAATTATGGGGGATGCTGCAAGGCAATTCTTGCCTGGATGCAACTGGGCTGGGTGATTTCTGTTCCTTTTCCCTGAATTGGCAAGAGATGGACTCACAGAAACAGTAGAGATTATCCACCTCCCTCCCCCAACACCAGGGCCCCTCCCAAGGATTTTGCTTATTCTCCAGGACACTTAGTACCTGCAACCTTTAGGACAGCCTTCATTGATTATTTCCTTATATGTTAATTAATTACTATAAATGTGGAAGGAAACCATTGTGGTATGGTGATGGTTGTTTTTCAGTCACTGCCATATCCGACTCTTTGTGACCCCAAGGACTGCAGCACACTAGGCTTCCCTGTCTTCTACTACCTCCCAGAATTTGCTCAAACTCATGTCTGTTGAGTTGGTGATGGACTCTCTCATCCTCTTACATCCCCTTCTCCTTTTGCCCTCAATCCTTCCCACCATCAGGCTCTTTTCCAATGAGCTGGCTCTTTGCATCAGGTGGCCAAAGTATTGGAGCTTCAGCTTCTGCATCAATCCCTCTTGAGTTTGAGTTCTGTCTATAACTAACAATGTCTTGAGCAAGGCACCTAAATTCTGTGGGTCTCTGTTTTCTCACCTATAAAACAGGAATACTGATCATGACCCTGACTCTCCCTCAGGCCTGTTGTGAGCCTTCAATGTAACAGGCTGTTCTCTGTCTGCAGGACCAGGGGCTTCCAGAGCCCCCATGGTGGTAACTGGGACCCTGGGGGGCTCTGTCACTCTGCCCCTGAAGCTGCAGGATGGACAGCAGGTGGAAAGCATCTCCCGGGTATGTCGCTCAGTCCCTGGGGCAATAGCCACGGTGACCTTGGTGGAAGGTGGAGGACCAGACACCTTTCACCAGGCAGAATCACGGTACTGGGGTCGTTTGAGTGTGGTGGGCCCAGAACGCTCCCTGCAGATCAGCCACCTGAGTTGGGCAGACGCGGGGTCCTACCGAGTCCACGTTAATCTTCGGAGCTCCCGCGTCACCCACACCAGGGAGTATAGCCTGCATGTCTACGGTGAGTATCTGGGGCATGGCAACAGGTGTGTGTGTGTGTGGAGCCTGTCTTTCAGTCACTTTTATAGCCTTTCCCACTTCCCTTTTAGAAACAATTATAATTTTCTTTCTAATAATGAGACTAACATGTGCTTAACTGAGAAAAACATGGAAAGTAGAATTGCCTGGGAGAATATCCTAAAAAATGTTGATGGCTGGGATGTGTCCCAGACCAACAGAAGTAGAATCCCTGCATTTGGGCAGAGAATGGGATTTCTGCCACAACTGACTTGTGATGTCTCGAGCTTCCTCCTTACTAAAATAGAACATTACCTTTTGTGAGAATAAAACTCATGGCAAAGAGCTTTGTAAAGCTCTGTGCAGATGTAGGAGAACACTACTATCATATTCCTCAAGGAAATGTCAGTGATTGTCTTAGCAGGGGAAACTACAAAAGAGACAGTTGGGCGGGGGTGCCAGGCACACGCAGCAGCAATATTGGCCAGTGGAGACACAGTCAGGTACTTTTAGATTTAGCCTGCTTATGTAGAGAGGGAGAGGGGCTGAAGGTCTCAGATCTCTGGGTCCTCATCCCATAACCCAGGAAGGATGACACTGAGGCTAAAGGGGCCAGATGACCATAATGGGAGTTGCTGAGAAGCCAATTCTAGACTGCAGAGAAGTTTCATAGTCAGCAGCTCTGTTCTGCGGGGATGGAGCAGAAAGCCTGGGACCTCAAGACAAAAACAGTCTCATGACAGCCTCCCAGGAGGAACAAGTGGGAGGCCCGTGGGAGATGGCTTCAAGGAAATGCCTCACAGGCCACCCACCTCTCATGTTCTGGGAGGATCACAAGGCCTTTGCAAGACTTGGATTAGCTGTGATTCCAGTCTTTGCCTGAGGGACTAGGTTGCCGTGGATGGCAAGTTCACCAGGCAAGGTCACCAGGATGCCGTGGCCGGAAGGTACCAATGAAAAGTAAGGATGGACACAGGAAGATGAGTGATTGCGGGAAAGTGGAGAACCTTCTTATACAATTTCCTGGGTTATGGAACAGAGAATATTCCTATTATTAATAGATGAATTTTTTATTTTATTTTTTTATATGTTTTTTTTTTCTTTTATTTTTATTAGTTGGAGGCTAATTACTTTACAATATTTCAGTGGGTTTTGTCATACATTGACATAAATCAGCCATGGAGTTACATGTATTCCCCATCCTGATCTCCCCTCCCACCTCCCTCTCTACCCGATTCCTCTGGGTCTTCCCAGTGCACCAGGCCTGAGCACTTGTCTCATGCATCACACCTGGGCTGGTGATCTGTTTGTTTTTTTAAACTTGGGTTGACAGAATTGCCCTGGTCAGGTTCACATGATTGGGGTGAAAGCATTTCTGTCATAAATTGGCTTGGAATGACTGTGGCCCATTCCTCAGACAGAGCAAGGACACACTGGGTGGAGGGCTGTTGGGACCTGGGGTAGGGCTGTTCACCCAGAGATGGTGGGAGAGCACCTCTCACTGTGCTGATGGCCATTCGGGTAGGATGAGTTCAGTGTGGATTCTGAGCAGGATATAAGGCTGTGCTAACGGATCAGCGTTGGGGTCTTCCAGAGACGGTTTCTGGGGCAACAGTGATGATAAAAGGCCAGATTTTCATGCTTCACAGGGCATTTCCCAAGTCACTGTTGTCCCATGACAGCTTTGCTGGCAAGTAGGAAAGTGCAAGTGGCTCAGTCATGTCCAACTCTTTGTGACCCCATGGACTATACAGTCCGTGGAATTCTCCAGGCCAGAATACTGGAGTGTGTAGCCTTTCCCTTCTCCAGGGGATCTTCCCAACCCAGGGATGGAACCCAGGTCTCCCGCATGGCAGGTGGATTCTTTATCAGCTGAGCCAGCAGGGAAGCCCAGGTAGGAAAAAGGGTTTGTATTTCTAGGCTAAGAAGATAGACAGCATATGAAAAATCAGAGACATTACCTTGCCAACAAAAGTCCATCTAGTCAAAGCTATGGTTTTTACAGTACTCATGTATGGATGTGAGAGTTGGACCATAAAGAAAGCTGAGCAGCAAAGAATTGATGCTTCTGAACTGTGGTGTTGGAGAAGACCCTTGAGGGTCCCTTGGGCTACAAGGAGATCAAACCTATCAATGAAGCTACTACTTCATACTATTGTTCCAAGAATCAGAGGAGATATTAAGTGACACGTCTTATAAAGCCCCAAGCTCTAGAATAGATGTGGGCAGATTCTACCTCTGTTGTTTGTTATGTGTATTCAGGGTGGTACAGGGTCTTGGTGGCAGCACTTTCTACTTCTGCCCCATGAAGGGAAGGTCCAGAGCAGTTTCCCAGTGCTCAGTTGGTTCTTTTCTTGACACACAGAGCGGCTGGCCCAGCCCCGTGTCACAGTGAGCACCAGGATTAGTGGGAACGGACACTGTCTCATCATCCTGACGTGCGTGGCAGAAAGCAGAGGAGGCGCTGTGACCTACAGCTGGACACCTCTGGGACCCCAGACTGCTGTGTCCCATGGAGGGTCTGTCCTCAGTGTCACCTTGAGGCCTTGGGACAGCACTCTGAACTTTACCTGCATGGTCAAGAACCCAGTCAGTAACAGTAGCTCCCTTCCCATCTTGGTGCCGCCTTCATGCACAGGTACCTGGAATCCAAGCATGTACCCTGCTTGACAGCTCTGAAATGGAAGGTGGAGGAAGGAGTCTGGTCCCCTTCAGGCCCCAAGGACAAAAGCAAAGAGTCAAGAGACAATGGGTGGGCCAGGGTGTGTCCGAGTGGTCGGGGAGAGGGAGGAGACCCTCTGGAGTTGAGGGGGAGCCTGGAGGGATCTGGGCAGGAGGGGCTGGCTGGGACCTGTGGCTGCCCTGAGCGGGCAGGGAGGCCCTGAGGCAGAAGCTGTGGTTTTCTCTCTCCATCTGCAGGGCCAGGGATCCTGAGTGGTGAGGAATCAGTAGGGGAGACAGTGATCGGCACCCTAGGGAAGTCAGCCACTCTGCCCCTGGATGTCCCAGTGGGGCAAGAGGTAGAAAAGGTTACCTGGAGCTCTCGAGGACTTGTTGCTATTTTGCGACCAGGACCAGCAGGGGAACCAATCCTGGTTGCTGGGACTCAGGGACCCTACAATCATCGGCTGAGCATCCCCCGCCACAACTACTCTCTTCAGATCAGCTCCCTGAGGCTGCAGGACTCTGGCCCCTATCAAGCCTGGATAACTCTGCATAGTCCCCCAATTAACATCACCAAGGATTTCATCCTGCATGTCTATGGTGAGGGGGTTAGAGGGCTTATGTTTGAACTTGACCTTCCCTCTCAGCTGCTTAGCCAGGCTGGAGCCTTCTCATAGCTTGAACCTTCCCTTCTTGGCACAGAGAGACTGCAGGAGCCCAAAATCACAGTCAGCTCTCAGATCATGAAGGATGGGACCTGCTTCATCACCCTCATCTGTTCACTGGACCAGCCTGGAGAGGATGTTCAGTACAGCTGGGACCCCCGAGGCCAGGGGGCAATTGTGTCACATGGGGGAACCACTCTCAGTGTCTCCTGGCGATTTGGGGTCAGTGACAACTATCACTGTACAGTGAAGAACCCCATCAGCCAGAGCTCCAGCTCCATCCCCGTCAGGCCCCTCTGCTCAGGTAACCGCTTGCTTCTGAGAACCCTTTTCTCCCAATCCAGATTCTCAGCATGCCTGCCTGCCTTCCTTGGGGTTCTGGGAATGATTGAAGAAAAGGAGGGCTGGATTAGTTTGCAACAGGGAGCATCTCTGGGGTGGCAGGAGGTGAGAACTCTGGAGCTCTGCCCACCTTCTCTCGGCCTAGGTGTGCAGCAGGCTCAGCTGGGTAATGGCCTGGGACTCCCTGAGGAAAGTTGCTTCACTCACCACATTCAGTCCTGCAGAGACCCTGGAGGAGGGGCCCCAGACCTCCTTGCCTGTGTCCTCCTTGCTTACGAAGCTTCTGCCCTTCTCCTTGCCTGTAACTACTCTGAGAAGGCAATGGGGCCGTGTTCCTCTGGTGGGCAAGGGTGGCTTCTCCTGGCCTCCACAGGCCACGGCAGGAAATCACCTGAGTCCCAACACACCTGCCCCTCTCGTCTTCTCCACTGACTTCTGAAGTGGTTGTCTCTGCTTCCTGTCTCTGGTTCCTCACCAACCATCCACTCTTCAACTTCTTGTGGCTGGTTTGTCCAGTGGTGTCCTGATGGCTGAGCTCATGGGTTACTCCTCAATTGTTATCCTTGACCTGCTTTCTTCAGCCACTGGGCAGCTCTTTCTTGGACTTTTTCTCTCCAGTCACCGTCCTTTTCAGGACTGATGCTGTCCTTTGCCCAGGCCTCTCCCTGCATCTCTTCTTTCCTTCCTGTTGCCAAAGGGAGAAGTCAGTCAGTCAGTCAGTTCAGTCTCTCAGTTGTGTCCGGCTTTTTGAGACCCCACGAGTCGCAGCATGCCAGGCCTCCCTGGCGTTACTTAGAACTCTTATCTTCCCCATGCTACCTGCCCTTGTCCACACCTTCCTTGCTTCACATATTCTTCAGCTGGTCTCCTAACGTCTCTCCCCTCCCAATCACCCTCCTGATTGTGCTGCTAGGGGAATTCTAAATGAAAGAAATGCTTGTGTTTCTTTCCTGCTTAAAACACTATGGTGTCTGACCAGTATGTAAAGTATAAATATTTTAGCACCTCTTTGTTCATAAGCAATACACATTTACAGAGCATTCTTACGGCCTATGTTGTTCTAGTCATTGAAGATATGGTGAAGAAGAGGTCTGGATAAATTTCCACCCCTTGGGGAACTCACAATCGTCGCCATCTTTAGCTAACTCTAGTAAATGACTTTAGAAGAACACTGAACATGCTGTAAAATGGCCTTTGTGCATGTGCCTGTCTCCTCAATTGAATCATGACAAAGCCCATGCTTACCTTTCTCTGCAACTCCAATACCCAGCTTGTAATGGATGTTTAAACTGTGAATTTGACAAGTATTTAAGGGCAGTCTGTGCTGGGTGTAATGGGGCACAAGAAAAAAGGATAACTGGTTTCAGACATTAGCATTCTCCCTCCCTATGGGGCCTGGAGGATATTTCAACTCCATCCCCAGAATACAGCTTCCTCAAGGGGCTTCTAGCCTCACCCTGCACCTCTTACTTTTCTTCCTGGAAAACTCCTCCCCCTGTTTCTCTGTCTTCCTATTTCTTTCCTTCTCTTCCTTTTACCCAACTCCTAACCTGTGATCATTGTTAATTCAGGTTCCTTCCTACCCTGCAGCCTGAAGAAAGAGTTTCTTCTCTTTTTGATCCTGGGAGCTTTGCAGATTAAATAGATTTGAACTTGACATGTGGAAAAGCCAAGAATAGGAAGTGAAAAGAAGGTCACTCTGTGAAACACAGATAAGGAAGTCTACACAGAGAAAGAAAGAGGAGTGTGACCTGATACCTGAATCTCAAGGTGTTAGAAACACTTGTGATGATTAAAGCATGAAACCGGTTTTGTTTGCAAACTGAGTTCAAAGCAATGAAGAAACAGCTACATATTTTCTGTTTAAAACCATCCGCTTATGTTTTGTTTAATTGTGTTTTAATATGCTCAGAAAGAAAAGAGGCTTATTCAATTTAGGAAAAAATGAATGATTTGAAATATAATATATAATGATAATAAAATTGTTAAATATTGTGCATAGATATTATTTTTTGTTAAAATTTATGTAAATGGGCTCAGAGGGCCCCGATTCAACTTAAATTTTGTCTCCTTGGAGCATTCTTTCACCACCTTATTTAAGCAAATCTCCCTGGGTCATTGTACCCAGTTGGTTTTGTCAAATTATCACAATTTGTAAGTATATATTAATTTGTTAGTTTACTTGTTTTTTGTCTGTCTCCCCCACAAGACATTCAGCCATTGAGGGTTCTTGGCTTATGGTAGATATTTTAATATATATATTTTTAATCATATGAATGACTAGATGGATCAGAGTTGAGAACATTCTCTTTAAGATTTGAGGACTATTAGGAAGTTTCATAAAAATTGGAGTCCAATATTATTGTGTGTTTTTTTCCTTTCTGCTTTTCATAAAAGGAAGAAGAAAATGGAATCTTTAGCCTAAAATTTCTTTGAGTGTTCAATAGCTAGCAAAAGAAGGAAGCTGGAGCTTTTGACAGAAAGCTGCTTTGAAGTGCTAAATAGATTGCTCTAGAGTTTGAACCATGTGCAAACAATGGAGCCAAAAGTATAATTTAGGTGAGAGAATGACCCTGAACATCTCTTTCTTCGCTCTCAACTGATTACTTTAGTTCCTACTTCACTTACTATGGGGATTGGCACACTCCATCCATTACAAAGATTCTAGTAAAGTAGTTGGTGATATATCCTGAAATATAAATAGGTAGCCAAGAACACAAGATATTTGAGGAAAACTGTGAAAGAGAGTCTCCAAACAAACAGAATCAATTAAAAAAAGAAAAAAGAAAAAAAAAAAAAAACGAAATCAAGAGAATGCAGGGAGCAGGAGAAAAAAAAAAACAACCAAATCTGTATTTAATATTCTTAGAAACATGAGAAGATATTACATTTTTTAAAAGGAATAGAATGGAGCATAATAGAGTAGGAAGACCCTGAACTCTCTTCCTCCCATAAAGAAAGAAAGAAAGTGAAGTCGCTCAGTTGTGTCTGACCCTTTGCTACCCCGTGGACTGTAGCCCACCAGGCTCCTCCATCCATAGGATTCTCCAGGCAAGAATACTGGAGTGGGTTGCCATTTCCTTCTCCAGGGGATCTTCCTGACCCAGGGATCTACTCCAGGTCTCCCGCATTGCAGGCAAACACTTCTACCTCTGAGCCACCAGGGAAGCTCATGGGCACACAAATTATAACTATTTACAGAGAACTATCAATGAGAAGGGGCTTCCCTGGTAGCTCAGATGGTAAAGCATCTGCCTACAATGTGGGAGACCTGGGTTCCATCCCTGGGTCAGGAAGATCCCCTGGAGAAGAAAATGGCAACTCACTCCAGTATTCATGCCTGGAAAATCCCATGGACCAAGGAGCCTGGGGGGTACAGTCCATGGGGTCACAAAGAGTCGGACACGACTGAGCGACTTCACTTCATTTCATCAATGAGAAAAGCTGGAAGACTAGCAGAAAAGATTTTCTACAACCAAAGAGACAAAGAAGTAGCCATAGTGAGACATGATATAGTCAAGACCAGTATTCTCAGGTAGACCATCCACAAATGGGAGGACAATTGCAATTACAAAGGTTCTCCCCAGGGAGTGAGTGGTCTGAGCCCCATGTTGGGATTCCCAGAGCAGAGGTCCTGCACTGGGAAGATGAGCCCCCAAATGTTTGGCTTTGAAGATCACTGGGGCTTACTTGTGGGAGAGCCAGAGAGCTGTGGGGAATAGAGACTCCACTCTTTAAAAAAAATTTAAATTTTACTTATTAATTTTTATTGAAGTATAGTCAGTTACAATATTGTGCTAGTTTCAGGCATACAGCAAAGTGATTTATCACCCCCTACCTTCCCTTCTCCTTTGGTAACCAAAAGTTTGTGTTCTATGTCTGTGAATATGCTTCTGTTTTGTAAATAAGATTTGTGGTTTTCAGAGGCAATAAGGTAGGAGGAGGGAGAGTTGGATGAACTGGTGTTTAAAAAGTATAAACTTCTAGTTATAAGATAAATAAATATAGGGATGTAATATACAGCATGATAAACTTAATCAACATTGTTGTAGGTTACATGTAAAAGTAGTTAAGAGGATAAATCCTAAAGTGACATTTTTTTGAGGTCACATATTATGAACCCCTACTGGCAGGATTCATAGTTCTGAAGGCACAGAAAAAGTGGAATTGCTAGATTACTTGATTGCCTGATGTGTTTGACCATATTAAGCTAGATTTTACAAGGAGAAGAAAGAAATGATCGGCTCTAGGAAAAACAAAGAGCCATCAGAAAGGAAATGGAGTCATAATGCTTTATGTGACTCAAATGTGAGTATATGTTGTCTTTTTTTTTCTTTTTTTTCGTTTATTTTTATTAGTCAGAGGCTAATTACTTTACAATATTTTAGTGGTTTTTGCCATACATTGACATGAATTAGCTATGGATTTACATGTATTCCCCATCTTGAAACCCCCTCCCACCTGCCTCCCCATCCCATCCCTCTGGGTCATCCCAGTGTACCAGCCCCGAGCACTTGTCTCATGCATTCAACCTGGACTGCCGATCTGTTTCACACTTGATAATATACATGTTTCAATGCTGTTCTCTCAGATCACCCCACCCTCGCCTTCTCCCATAGAGTCCAAAAGTCTGTTCTATACATCTGTGTCTCTTTCTGCTTGCATTTTTTTTAATGAAAATTGTGCATTTTAAATAGTGTTGAAACATCTTTTTTTTTTTTATTACATTGCCTTTCTAATTGTTATTGCTATTTGCAGAGACTGACTTGGAATAAAACTGCAAACTCTGCTTCCTCTCAAAGGCATATAGCCTTTGATATATCTGATATTTTTATTATTACTGCTTTTCTTTCTTTTCTTAACCTAGAAAACCTGAGGGTTCACATATTTCATCACTTAGTTGAGTTGTCAGCTCTTGATTTCAGCTGAAGCTTTGCTCAGATTTCTCAAGCCTGAAAGCCTTCTGTAAAACACTGATTGATCTGGTGGTGTTTGAGAAGCATATTGAAAATTCATCCAGTTCTTACTTCCATTGTTCACTGGTTTATTTATCTGTAACTTGTTCAGGAATTGTAATTCCTCAGCTAACTAGGTAACTAGAGCTGCCATAACAAAATACTGTGTAAAAAGTGGCATGAAATACAGTAATTATTTTTCTCACAATACTGGAGGCTAGAAGTCCAAGATCAAGGGGTTGGCAGTTACATTTTCTCCTTGATTTGCAGATGGTNTTCCATACAAATTGTGAAATTATTTGTTCTAGTTCTGTGAAAAATACTGTTGGTAGTTTGATAGGGATTGCATTGAATCTATAGATTGCTTTGGGTAGTATAGCCATTTTGACAATATTGATTCTTCCAATCCATGAACACGGTATATTTCTCCATCTGTTTGTGTCCTCTTTGATTTCTTTCATCAGTGTTTTATAGTTTTCTATATATAGGTCTTTTGTTTCTTTAGGTAGATATATTCCTAAGTATTTTATTCTTCTTGCAATGGTGAATGGAATTGTTTCCTTAATTTCTTTCTGTTTTCTCATTGTTAGTGTATAGGAATGTAAGGGATTTCTCTGTGTTAATTTTATATCCTGCTACTTTACTATATTCATTGATTAGTGCTAATAATTTTCTGGTAGAGTCTTTAGGGTTTTCTATATAGAGGATCATATGTTATCTTAAATATTGAATATTCATTTAACATAAAGGTATGTCACAACTATCCTGGTCGAATTTGCGGAAAGTCTTTTGTGTTGTTAAGGGCTATAGGGGGGATGTGGGGTGGCAGTGAGCAAGGTGAAGAAGGGTAGGGTACAATACAGCCAAATACCCATTCCCATAGCATGAAGTCAATAAATAGTGCCTAAACTCAAGAAATAGCAGGGCTGGATATATTATTTCTGTATATCAAGGGAATAGAAGAAACAAATTAAAGAATTGGTAATAGTTACCCATGTGAGAGAGAAGTTCTGGCATGTGGCAGAGGTTGGCTATTTTTTGTTATGTTTTATGTTACTAAGTTGAACTTTAAGGGCCGTATGTGTGTGTATATGTAATACTTTAAAAAATTAAAATACTAAAAAACATAAAGAGATAAGGAACAACAACAAGAAGAAGACAAATGAAAGTTCTAGGAAATTGACTGGGGATGGGAAGACTTATATCGGAGATGGGAGTTCCTCAGAACAGTTTAAACAAAGGTGCAGGGATTAACCAGTGAAGCTTTAGTTGAAACAAATAAACATAAGCACTGTTGGATATCTTTTCAGTAAATCCAGCTTCAATTATGCATTCAGCATAATTCAACATTATTAACTAGTTAATATTTATGGTTATTAAAAAGATAAAAAAATATCCTAACTGAGGAAGTCATTCTGGGGCTGTCAGTGATCTTGTGTACTGCTCCACACAGTTGTCTATCAGGAACCCCACACAGCATGCTCTATGACAGGAAATACATAGTGATTGAAGGAACAGACTGAAAATGTAAACCTAGGTCACAAGGCACTGTTCACTCTCTGCATCTGAAGAGAACCAGCACCCTTCACTCATGGGCTGTAGGCTGGCACTGGAAAATGGGGGAGAAGGAAGAATTTGTTCAGGGTCTGTTTTAGAGATCTTGCAGAAGTCACCAGTGTTTGTGGGAGTGGAGCGCTTCATCACTAGCCTCAGCTGGGTAGCAACATGGGGAGCTTATTCCTCATAGAAACGATTCTGAGGGACTTCCCTTGTGGTGGTGCAGTGGATGGGAATCAGCCTGCCTGTCAGTGCACACATGCCGCAGAGCATGCACCACAGCTACTGAAGCCCAAGTGCTGTGGGGCCCACAAGCCACAATTACTGAGCGTATGTGTTGCAGCTACTGGAGCTCTTGCACCTATAGTCTGTGCTCTGCAACAAGAGAAGCCACAGCAGAGAAGCCTGCACACCACAACAAAGAGTAATCCCCACTCGCTGCAACTAGACAAATCCTGCGAGTGGCGAAAGAAGACTCAG